ATGCATCCACATCAAATTGCGCACTTCTGCTGAAATACCTACACCTTACCTGAGTCTGCCCTCAGCTCTCACGATGATACCTCATGCCGCTGACTCAACCACTCACTCTCACCTACCGGTATTCACCCAGAGCAAGCTGAAAGACATCCCAAGCCTGCCGGAAACCGCATCGTGCAAATAAGCATACCCCGGTTCCTTCCAATCCCCAAGAAGGAGGGCAGAACTTTTCGGATCCATCTCTTCATACCATTCGTCCCTCTAGCAACCAACGTTCTTCTCGTTGCCCACGGCATGCGGCATCCGTTACCTTGACGCTTCCCGCCATTCCAGTCTACCTTTGGCTGGCAAGTCGCCTCCCGGGTGCGGATGCGGGACAAGCGAAGAATGCCAGCACCCCGGTAACCCGTAAGCTCGCCCACGGCTGTCCGGCCTACGAATACCTTTCCTGCTCCTTCACACGTTTGCTTGACGGGACGGCGTATCCGTAGATTTCTTATTTGGCCTTAGTAAGTGAGGGAACATGGTGATTCACCAACCCCCGACCAACTCGACTCGACTAGACTTGCCCCTCACTACTCCCCAAGTTCCACAGCAAGAGGACTGGACTACCTCCTGATAACGGCGCCAACTCTGCTGCATCGCCCGGGGTAGATAGATAGCTTGACAATTGGATCATGAAATGATGAGAACCTCTCCGCTCTCGCCGAACATCCCGTTTGCGACTCTCTTTCCAGCCCGCCCCACCGCTTCCTTCCTTTTCCTAGGCAGTATCCGTACTCCATACTCCGTATATTCCTCGGGTGGGTTCTTCTTCAGCTCCATTCTTCAAAAGTCTGATAAACACCCCCAACCTCTTCGAATACGGGCCATGTCTCCATCAACATGCATCAGACAGCTCTTCCTCCCCCCCACCTTTCCTGTCGTCCAACAGACCGAGACAGAAAAGCGAGCACGACATGATGGGGGTGCGAACAGGGTGCCTGACACAACCACTACCTTACCTTGGATGTCAAGGTAGGCTGGGGCTAGCTCACTCACTCACCTCCCAGTCGGAATGCAATGTAATATCATCCTGCCATAACCCACCCAACCCCCAAAAAAAAAGTCTACAACAAAAAAATGCATCACCTGATATTCCTAGTCCCTACCAACGCAGCACAACTTCTCTTACTACCAGTATCTAATGCTTGACTATCAAGGCCCACTGAAGATATCACAGATTTACGGATCATCTCTGGATATCACATTTGGTCTTAGTAGCTATCGTTGTTGAACACCCCTTACCTGCAGTCACAAGGCTTCGAATGCCCAAAATCAAGCATCGCACATCAAACAACTTGTAGCGAAACGACTAAAATGAGAATAAAAGATGCGGCTGCTTCCAGCAGCGCATACACAGCCTTGCGTGATGATTAAGACGATATAGTATACAGGTAGAGGAAGAAGAAAAAGAAAAAGAACATCATCTGCCGCAATCGCGAGGCCTCAAGCCAGCGTTGTGCCGGGGGGGGGGGGTTTCTCTTCTTCTCTCTTTCTCGTGAGATCCATCTCCCTCATCCTCGCTGTTATTTCCTACGACCAACCCCACTCTCTCCAATCCGATAATCAGGAATCAGGAATGGGCTCTTTGAGCATTCATACGTTGTGTACGCACGACAAACCGGCACGTTCCTGGCACACGAATGGTTCGCATATAGAGACGTGCTTCATTTGGCTGTCGCAACTCTCTCCAGCTATCAATCAGGCCCATACGCTACCGCTTCCAGTAGGGTAGATGCTGTCGCTTTCCCAAGTTGCGAGCATCATCCCAAAACAAAGACAAAAGAAAACGAACGGCCAATTCATCACATCATCTTTGAATTTCCCGTTTCCCATACCATACTCCAACCCATGGCGTACTTTTCGTCCCAGAAACGCTTTCGCATGGGCTTCTCTTCCACCACAGTAACCCGGCGTATCTCGCGTAGGCGGGCAGCAACCGGTTGCGAATGTCCATCTTCAAGCGATTGGTTCCGTGATGCAAATGAAAAGGAATTGTCGTGCCGTGCTGTCCTCCAGTCGAGGCACTAACCGACGATTCGCTCGCACCCGTGTCGTATCGCAAGCGAGCGTGTAAACCAGAGTGAACGCCGTCCAAACGAGGTGCCGCCCACAACGCCCGGCAATGCTGTAAAACGCTGACCCGCAACAGAGGAGATGAATCTAAACATTAAGGAAAATTTGTGGCCGAGGCGATTGGCGGTTTATAGGATGCCAGAGTCCCTAAGAGCGTTGTTAAGGATCGTCTCCTTGACGGCCGCGAACACCAATCGGATGTTGGATGTGTCGGTTGCTTGAGTCAGGCTACAGTTGGATTAGCCCCCGCCCACCGAAACAATGACGCTTCCACTTACTGGGGATACAGGTTGAGGTGTGCTCGATTGACCTGATTGAATCTCCAGAGGAGATACTTGGCTGCCTTGTTGACGTCGTTACCGCCTGAGTAGTCTGGAAAGTAGTTGCCCAGTGGTGAACGTCCAAGCTTCTGTTTGAAGATATCCACCTTGTTCAGGAACAAAATGATACTGGTGCGCATGAACCACCTTGAGTTCACCACCGAGTCAAACAACAGTAAACTTTCCATCATTCGGTTCTGCAGTCGTCAGTTAGTACACAGCGTTGGATGGGAGACATGGCTCCATGGTATGACATACCTGACTGCTCTCCTCCAGCAAAACTTGGTCGTACTCGCTAAGAGCAACGCAGAAGATAATTGAAGTGACATTTTCGAAGCAGTGAATCCACTTCTTTCTTTCGCTTCTTTGACCGCCAACATCGAACATGCTGTAGGAATCGTCAGTAATTGTCAAGTACGCGCACAGTCGACCACAAAGACTCACTGTATGCTGAGTTGTCCCATCTGAAATCTTGTCTCGTAGATACCAGTTGTCTTCGTTCTGGCTCTGAGAACATCCATTTCGTTCGGGAGGTAGTCTGGTGCGACGATCCGCATGACTTCTTGGAAGAAGCTGATGTCATTTTGTTAGCACTTCTTGCCCAGGAACCCTAACGTCCAATTGAGCACACTTACTATTCTGCGGAATCCATCAAGTAGAACTCAGTCTGCCTCTCCATGAGCTGTTCCCTCGCGGGATCGCTCCATATTGACTGGATGGCGATTCCGATCTGGGGATCGATGTGTGCTTGGGGGCCAGATTCGGCTGTGTATTCCATGAGGAAGGTGGCATATGCCTTGTTCTCTTCGATTACTGGTTCGATGTCGAATTGTCGCATGGCCTGGATCACTGCCTTTGCGCATTCCACCAGGTTCTTGAACACGGTCGGGCGGTAGTTGTACAATTCATCTTCCGAGTAGCCTTTCAGATGGATAATCTTCATCTGCTTCACTATCGTGGATTTACCACTCTCTCCGGATCCTGCGTGGTTGTCAGCGAGCCAAGTCCATCTCAAGATTCCGCAAAATTGAACTCTGGCGTCAAAACCTACCGAGCAGAAGAATCTTGCATTCCCGGCGTAACCTTTTCGAGTCCTCTTCCAGCTGTCGGTCGATTGCCTGACTCTTCTTTTTCTGTTCCACCTCCTCATTGTTTGAGCTCATACAGGCACCCATTTTCGAGAGAGGCCGGGGCGTCGGTTGAGCCGCTGACGGGAGTAATGATGGGATTTGGGTGCGTTAAACGTTCGAGTGCAGGGCTCGTGGAGCCGTCGAAATGATTTAACCGCGCGTGAGATCCCGAATGGATGCACGTTAAATGCCCATAGTAGTATTAGATAACGCTGGCGAGGAGAAAATTAATGGAGAGGCTGAGATGGATCGCAGGGCGTCGTCGTCGTCGATTGGTAGTGATGATCGTTTGGTCGGCGGAGGACTCGGCGGTAACGTAGGCGTTTCGGATCAGAAGGCTTCGAGAGAGGACACAGCGACGGCGACGATTGATAGCGAGAGCGATGAGTTGGTATGATTGTGTATCGGACGGAGCGAGGATGGACGGATGATGAGCGACGACCCTGAAGATCGGGGATGGGCGGGAGCTGTCGAGGGAGATGGGTAGCGAAGGACGGAAGACGAGAGTGCGACCGGGAAGGCGGGCAAGGACAGTGTCGGAGGAATAAATGTGGGTATCACCAGGACCTCGACAGGCGGGCGGGTAAGTGCAATTGGGTACGGGCCCAAGCTAAGGTAAGCACCGATGTACCTTTGGTACCGAGAGCGACACCTTTGGGTGTCTTTGGAAGTACCTTGGCAGCGAAGGAGCGTGCTGTGTGAGAGGTGCCCGCGGGTGGGTGGGTATAAGGTATGGCAATATGGGGAGGAAACCTGGAGACCTAAGCCTCGTAAGACTGAGATCAGAGAGACGGCTGTAATTTGGGAATGGAAAGTGATGTAGACCGCAAGGTAGACAGGCTGGGTGTGACAAGAAAGCGCGTTCGGCCCAGGGAATCAATCAATGGGTCAAGAGATCAGGCCGTACTGGCGGTTCGGATCTGATCTGTCAAGTGATGAAGGGGAGTGAACTGTGAGGGAGATCGGAAAAAGAAACGCCGGACAGAAGACTGGAAACGAGTTGGATGGGAGGAGAGGACCAGTGAGGAGAGCAGGTGTGGGTAAAAGGAAAAGGAATTCTGTCGTGCGGGAAAGTGTAAAGTTGATGCTAGTGGCGGGCAGGCTGGACTCGTGGAGTTGCGAGAAGCAGCGGTCTCGATGGTCAGGTACCTCTGCACTGGAATTTACGGATACGGATACCTCTGCCGCTACCTCCTACATCGCGATGTACTACTTAAGGGCACTGACTACAAGAAGTGAGAGGACCAGAGCCAGAGAGTGACAGAGAGACGGGGAGAAATGGGTGGTGAAGCAAGGCATACACACACGTCCCCCAATCCCATACGCAGTCAGCTCAGACAATCAGACCCATTCAGCCCAGACACCAACCACCCGCCCTCCCTTCCCGTCGGGGTCCCTCAATCCCTCAGTGCTCACTCCTCAGGTATGCGGCGGCATGGGTGACAGGGACACGTTCTCAGCGCAGACTTACGGAGTAGGTGAGTGGTGCAGCAGGCCCCGGCAAAGTTGGCAAGGCAAGGCCAGGGCGGCGGGGTGCGGGTGCGCGTGTGGTGTGTGGTGTGTGGATCGGGATAGGTATGTATGGGCCTTGTCTCTTGTGCTGTGAGTGAGTGTGTACGAATAAGAGTGCGGGAGAGAGGATAGAGAGATTGTACGTGTGTGTGGACGGGGCGGACTCGGCCTATGCCACCTGCGGACAGCTTCTTCAATCGACCTGGACAGGTCTTGGCCTGCCGGAGGGGGAACAGGCCGAGCAGGGAGTAGCCGGGAGAGGTATGCAGACAGGGACGGATGTACCTAAGGTAATGTGGTTAGGTACACACTCTAAGGTAGTTGCCCACGTCCTTAGCTCAGCTTGGTTCTGAAGCACAGTTGAACGCCGGCCGACTGCTTCTGGGTGAGTGTATTTCAGATGAATGGAGGCATTTACCACTTGTGGCTTGGTTCTGGACGGGATGCTTGGGACTAGCACATGGCACAGGGTGAACAAGCTTAGGAACCTTCAGGTGCAAGGCACGAGCTGACAATGGCGGGCCAGGGCTTCGAGGTTCGCGGGTAGTCGTGAATATCTCGAGTGACTTATCATCGTGAGAGCAAGGCAGAATATCACGCCTGCGGACATGTTCTCGAGAGTTGACACTGACTTTACCAATCTACCTCATAAGGCAGGTGTAGTAAGGTAATCTTAGGTAAGCATGAAAAGATACTTGGCAAGTGGTTGCGGTACCTAGGCACTTGCAGTCTCAGGTTGCGATTGGGGCAAGAGCAGAGCAATGAAAAGAGCGGGCAGGAGCTCTCCTTCTCGACGTGGGCAACAGCCTACTGGCGGTACCGCTAAGGACAGACCAGCGGGCAGCTCCACTCGTTTTAGTGTCTTCCCTCTGCCGCATGCATGGCATTTAAATCACTTTCATTGGGCGCACACCCTGGTTGACCCCGGCCAACTCAAGCTCTCGCAGATATTTACAGCTCACGGTACGTACCGACTTCTCATCTCTCCAGGCATTTCGGGATATTTTCTGCTCCTTGTTGTTCTTGCCAATCCCGGCTGGTCTGGCGCTTGTTCTCATCCTTTTTGATCAATTTTGATTATTTGACATCTCCCCCAGGCGGCCCCCAATCATGTGTAATATGCGAGGCGGGCTTGATCAGTGATGGGGCCATTGGAGACGGAGCCTCAATGAAGGTGGAGGGCCTGAGGTAAACTCAGGCATCAGGCAATCGGAGACTTGGAAGAAAATAAATGAAGCTGTTGGAAATTGGAAATTTGAGCAAGGGGCAGCTTGTCCATCTAAGCTGAGGCAAGGCATGGCAAGGCCTACGCTATTAACAGGAGTACCTACGGATACAGATATAGCAAAAGGCAAAGTGCAAAGTTTAATGGGCCACGCTCCTGGCCTCAACCTTTTTGGAACCAAGGTCCACGTGCGTGCCTCTCATCCCACCACGTCTTGGTCCGTCTAAGGCATCACGTACGAATACTCATCCGTAGGTACCGGACACTCTGCAAATTGAACCTGCACCGAGTGTCCATCCGACAACGCGAGTCCATCAGACAAGGTTCCGCCTCTGAGAAGGGCATCCTCGTTCCGCAATACAACAGAAAAATTTCATCCTCAAATCAAATTAGTTTTAACCCTTACCGCCCCATGGTTCGCACTTGCAATGGAACACCTCAGGGCGTGCTTTCAGGCCGCTCCCGAATCTTCTGCTACCACCTAAGGTATGGATCGAAGGAGAAGGTATTGCCCTCTCCTCTCACTTTCCCATTCCCGCCCGACCCGATCGGTATCTGCACCCGGATGTCGTCTCCTGCCACAATCCAGATGACTGGAACCCGCACCTGCTTTGCTTTGCTTTGCCTTACTTTGTATCCATCAACCAAGGTAGGCGCCACTGTAGATCACACATATTGAATCCCGCTGCATTCTCCTTCTCCCAGTCTCAAAATTCTCGTCTTTGTGTTGACTATCTCCGTGCTCGTGTTTTCAATGGTTTGTTCTGCCCCGGACAATTAAGATTCTTTCTCTGCGGGCGACTTCCGCTCTCTCCACCATTCCCCAACAGAAGCGGGAGATGCTATAAGCTTCAAGGTACGGACGGATACGGATCTTGACATTGTCTGGACCCTCATTATATGTTCTTGGGCCCCGAGAAATTCGGCTCATCCAGCAAAGTCACGCAGGATTCGACCGCGCCCGGCAACGCGTCTCCGCATCCGGCAGTCCCAGACGCTGTCGATGAGCGAGCGCCGTCTTTTGCAGACTGAATGGAAGAGGGGGCTAGGCATTGGAACAAGTGTTTCAGTCATCGCTCCCGAGTAATGACCCTCCACCGCCCCCAGTCTGATCCCGACCCGCGTGCCCGCCAACATTTCGAGACGTTGGTTTGTCGACAGACCATCCCTTCGCTGCACCATTGGGCAATTAGTATTGGATGAAGTTACCGCTTCACGACAAAAACAAACAAGGAACAGTATCATTCACAATATGCGATGCAAATGCCGACGTCTTCACTACGGACTTTGCGTAGCGACTTGGCGAACCCCGGCATAAAGCTTCATGGCTCAGCAATGATCGATCTTCCTCTTCTTTCTGGCTGGCTGCTACGAATCATCGAGCCTCGACCTGAGGCGGGCTAAGAGCAAATGACCACCATCAATGACGAGCTAAGTGACATTCAGTCATCGGATCCCGAAGCTACAGTTTGAGCAGGAAAGACGGATAACCTCTACCCGCCGACTAGGCGTCTGTGGCGTGAGTCCGGGCTTCTTTTTTGCCAGTTGACTGTGCAGATCTACCCATCCAGCATCGGCTGGCTTGCCATGTACGGGTTGATCCTCAACGACATACCTACTGCTTCGGTCGCCGCCCCGCATCACACCGAGGAATGCAACCCATCTCGCTCACGAGTCACAAATGTACACAGGCGAGGCGACACATGGAAGCTGCACGCGGCCAGAACGTCGGCGATGCTACGGTTACGATGCGCCTGCGAGTGCAGATACAACAGGACACAAACCTTCTGTCATCGTTGGACCGGTTTCCCGTCTAGTTGAACTGCGGTCTACTGGCCACGTTCCAACGTCGCAGTGCTCCAACATGCCAGGACTCGGCAACTCAATTGCTCGACAAACCATACACCTCACCCCCTCAAACCTCCCAAACGACTTTCAAAGAGACAGTTGTCCGGCCCTAATTGTCAGCTGTTACACGGTGCCCAGACTCTTCTTGTGAAGCACTGGTGGTGGGGTATACAAACAGCACGGCAATTGACCATATCCAAGTCGGACGCACAGAATTCGGACCACGAAAACCTTATACACGCTTTGGGCACTTTCATCGCTCCTCGAATTCCAGCCTGGCTGCAACCCCATCCTGGCTCTTGGCCCTTCTCGCCTCAATATGAGGCTGCACCTTCGCCTTGGAACTTGGAGGTCATCTAGCCGCAGGTCACCATTTGTGCCTCAATGCCACATGATGAGGCTACGAGCTACTGCTTGTACGAGGTTACACGAGAAGTTCTAACTTGGGACCCTCTGAACGACGCCAATGTCTGATACTCTTCCTCTCAACGTCAGTCTAGCCCCTTAACAAAGGAATTTGATACCGGCCTGAGCTCAATGGCCGATTCCGCGACTGTGTCGTGACGGCATTTCACATTTCACGGCAACCCTGCCGTATGAGTTCTGCAGGCTGTTTTCGTGTCAAGCTCGACCGAATACCTCTCAAGCGTTGCAGGGGCATCGGCCGCTTCCCTTGGTGACAGGACAACCCCGGTCTCATTCACGTTTTCGTCAGAAAATCGACCCTGATTGGGCCCAATGTGAGTATCCTCTGAGCGACTCGCCCAATCGGCTAGCGTCAATGGCCTGGCGGTTCACAGGCCCTTTGGAACAGATATCAGCAGGGAGCACACGTGGGAGAAGGAGGCATCAAGTCTCATCTTCTCTGACCAGTTTGAAGGGCGAGACACACAGACATGGGTCATTCACCAAACAACCAAACGGTCCGGCTCGCCATCAAGCACCTGTGTGATCAATGTTCAATAGACCTTGCTTTCGCAATTTCGAGCTCGTCGGATCATAAAAGCGTGGCCAAGGCTACTTCCAGCTATTCCACGTGCGTCAGTGCTCTCGGCCGGCCAGGGCAGTAATTCTCAAGCGCCATAATCGTATTTAAAGTCTGATTTGGGGACGAGCGCCATGCCATGGAGGCGGCACGACTAAAGGGCTGTCTGATAAGATCTTCATCCGAGCAAGGCTTACACCTGAATACTTTTCTTCAGCGATATGGGTACTCTCGTCGAAATCCCCTGCGAGACTTTCTTATCAGCTTCCCGAAGAAGACGAGGCCCGATGCACGCTGACTTTGGTGGACGCCGTGCCTCTCGCCGGCGCATATCCAGATTTCATGCCTCTGCTCGGCGCTCAGCCGGCTGGTCTGTTATTTTAGCCAGGCACTTCAGGCCGGGATGCAGGACTTTCTCTCTCCGATGAAGTTTTTCAAAGTCCGACTTTGCGACAACGGCCCACTCTTTAGCCGGCAAATCATACAAACCTCTCAACAGCAGTTGAAATATAAATCCCAAACGTGGCCAATGGACATTGGCAACGCGGTGGACGTATCCGCCCTGGATCCATGGACAATAGAAACAGCCGAAGATGAATAATGCCGTACCTGAGATCGCCATATACACTTTGGCGACATCGCTAGAAAGACCTGTTTCATGACATCCAGGACCAGTATGTTCTCCGTGTGTTCAGACAGGGGCATTTTCGGCTTCTGGAAGCTGCGTCGAAATGTTTGCAAATACCTTGGTAAAAGTGTATGGGTGGTGATTTGATCGGATAGTGCCCTTGGTCGTCTTGGGGTCGACCCTTCAAAGGCCTCCTGGTTCTGGTCAACATTTAGCATCCGGACTCCGACGGACAACGGGTCTGGTCTTCTGGAACCCCTTCAGCCAAGCCGGCAAGTTCAGGCGAATGGCCTTCCCGACTTCACCGGCAACGTGTTCCACAAGTTAAAAGGTCGGGAGATGGGTGTGCTGGGCTTTTCGTGGGTGTCCTGAATGTTTCACGTCATCTCATGATGAGCCCCCGTTGTCCCTGAGTAATGTTTTTGCCCACATTACGGGATTCTGACTCTTTTCTTGATTTCTGATCGCATTCTGCCGTCGAGGAGTCGAGAAACTTTCTGTCCTATACAGGTGATGAGATCTTTTCAAATCTGGGACGAACGGAGGGCTCCAAAGCGTATGATTTGCCCCTCCAGAATCTCGCAACGTCAGTCCTTTTTGCATAGAAAACATCGGGTTGTTAAGGGCTTGTTAAAGCGGCAGGGAAAAAAAGTTGTCGCCTTTTTCGGGTTCGTGAAATGGAAGGGGGTGTGGTAACATTGCCGACGATTCCATCAAGCTTCTTTTTCTTCTTGCCACGTGCTTGAGGGGACATTAATTCTGGGATGTGTTGTCTTGCGAGTTCGAAACAGAGTTTTGGGCTTCTTGTTTCTCGAAAAGGAGCCTGTAAGCCCGCAAATCCGATGTTTTCCTTTTCTTCTCGTCTTTCTTCAGGCCGTGAGTGTACGTTTCTGTGTCTTGAGACGTCCCTCCGAGTGTGAGTTGGGCTTTGAATTGGAAGGGAAGCTGAGTATCCTGAGCATAATCTGGGATATGTATGGTATAGAGCAGGTGGAAACTGAGCAGCAGTGTTGGGGCGGCGCTGAGATGTTGGAAAGTCGACAGAGAGATTGGTGGTTATTCGGGCAGTTTATACGAAAATTGTCCGTAGTCCGGGGGCGGGTTCGTCAGCAATAAGCTGTTCGGCACGCGGTTGGTTGTCCGGACCATTCGTCCGGGGCGCGGCCGAACAAAGGTCCCATATTTTCCGGGTGTTTGAGTGGTACGTGAGCCACGACGTGGCGCATCATGCGGTGTACCAAGGATCCTTTTCGGTATGGGAGAGAGGGAGAGAGAATTTGTGAGGTGTTTCTGGGGGCATTTCCAAGCGTGACAAAGCTGAGTATATTCAGAAGATGACGAGATCACTCGGTCGTAGTCATCTACCGCACGGGAGGTTTTTTGTAAGAAGGGGATCAGCAGAGATGAGGTTTTGGGATTGGTGATGATTACATGAGGAGGAACTATGTTTACAAAAGAATGTTGGTGGTTATTTCCCCCGTTCTCTCGGCTTGCGAGCTTGGTCGCGGTAGGGAGCTCCAGAGCAGCTTCCATGGATGGTGTCGAGGAGACTGGTGATTGCATCATGTGTGAAGGGAATGAGAGAAGCATCGAAGCGAGGAAACAGATAGACAGTAGGAGTGTCTAGAGGATGTTGATCACTCCGCCGGACTCTTCCTGCGAAAAAAAAGGATAAATATCAAGACATCCTCCATTCTATCCTTTACTATATCGTTCTCGAGATCATCAAACAGAAACATTAATCACAGCCATAGATCAATACCAATAACTCCAGAAGAAATATCACAGACACGACGTCTTGAACATCACAAAGTCATCATGATTGCCTCCAAGCCCGTCGTTCTCTACGGCCACAGTAAAGATTTGAACTTGCCTTCTTCACCTCACACGATGAATTTGGGACAGATGCTGATATCTCCATTGCAGGTTACACCCCCAACCCGTCAAAGGTGGTCATGATTCTCGAGGAGCTCAGTATCCCATACGAACATGTAACGTCTCCTCCCTCTATCTCCTCATTCCACCGTCCTGGGTCCTTTTACACACCAACCTCACCTACGACAACCCGCCAACCCTCAAAACAAAATCCAATAGCGCCTAACGATATGAAGCCAACATCACTACAAGACCACTACACACACCTATACTCATTTGCTAACCTGAAGCATTTCCTCCTCAGATCATCATCGACCTCGCCGTCGTAAAGGAAGAACCCTACCTCTCCATCAACCCAAATGGTCGCCTTCCGGCCATCAAGGACCCCAACACGGGCATCACGCTCTGGGAGTCCGGCGCCATTGTCGAGTACCTGGTCGAGACGTACGACGACGCCGGCGCGCTATCCCTCGCGTCGAGAGGGGATCGGTTCCTTTTGAAGCAGTGGTTGCATTTCCAGGTGTCTGGCCAGGTGCGTCTTGCTTCTCCCCAACTTATACAGTCTCGTCCATCTACTATTACAAGGGACCCCGACCCCCCTTCCTGGACGTTACTATCTATTCATTTGAAAGCAGAGCATGAAAATTTGGTCTCAAAAAGGCGATGAATAGCTCACCATGAATTCACCCACCTAGGGCCCGTACTTTGGCCAGCTCGGCTGGTTCAAGCTCTTTCACCCCGAAGACGTCCCCAGCGCAAAGGAGAGGTACGAGGAGCAGACCGTCCGCGTCCTTTCCGTCCTCGACCGCGCTCTCAAAGGGAAAGAATATCTCGTCGGAGACAAAGCGTACGTTTTTTTGACAGAGAAAATTCCCCACCCGTCCCTGTTTCTCACTTTCCATTATCCCCGACTCCATCACCCCCTTTTTCCTCTCTGGATCTCTCTCCTCTGGGCTATGAATAGCAACTTTGACCCAGATGTCCACTTTCCCCAGAAAAGAACCCACTACTTACCACCCATATAGAGCCTTGTCAATGGTTTTACGCATTTTAACTGACGATGATGGGAGCTGTGTGCTGTGTAGGACCTACGCCGATATCTCCTTCATGCCGTGGGACTACCTCGCCAGGAAACTCATCGGCGAAGGGTGGAACGATAAGTGGGAGGTCGACACAAAGTATCCCGACTACGCTGCCTGGGCTGAGAGGATCCGCGCCCGGCCTGTGGTCAAGAACGTGTTGGAGACTATGGGAAAACAGAGGGCTGCTGAGGAGGAGCAGGCTAAAACTCAGGAGTGAGTGACGGGGAGTCGAGCCAGGCCAGAGTCGATTGAGTTGGCTACATGTTCGTATGGCGGTTGTCACATAGGGAGTCAACGTAAGAGTCAGTGTAGGGAGTCGATAATTATTGTCTCTCCAGCAGAGGAAACTCCGTGTGATATCGTCTTTTTCATGTGAATATGTGCAAATGAAAACATGTTGATTTCGGGGAAAAGTCCACCATCCTTCTCCGGCTCTTCCATCCTTTCTCACAAGACAAGGAATTACCAGAGCCGGCGACAGCAGGAGGGCCACGAAGTAAAATCTAGTCCTCCCAGATGGCAACTTTAGCCTTCTCAGCGTCCTCTAGCCGGCGCTTTTCAGCAGCCTTCTCATCCTCCCTGCGTTTCCGCTCCTTCTCCTTGACAGCCTTGTCGTAGGCCCTCTGCTCCTCCGTCATCCGAGGCACCTTCACGCCCAGGGCGCTGGCAATCATGCGCCGGGCCACGGCGTCTGTCTTTTCTGGTCTGGGCCGTGATGAGGCGGCGTCTTGTCCCCCACCACCCGAGGACGCACCTGCACCGGCAACGGAGTCGACGCTGCCATAGGGGTTGGGGAAGGACCTGTCTGCGGCGTTGTACGTTGGTGAGATGGGCGTCGGCGGCGGGGCCTTGGCGCCGTCGCTTTGGGGCCTCACGGCCTCTTCTTCCTCTTCTTCATCATCGTCCTCGTCTACATCCTCATCTTCCCAAGAATCTGCCACTGGTGCTTTGGTCTTTTTGGTGGATGGGGTCTTTTTGTTGCTGTTTATTGAGAGCTTGGAGAGTGAGGACGTGACGTCTGGCTTTTGACTTGAGGATGGCATGATGGTGATGAATATATATATATATATATGGATAGATATTAAAGGAGTAGGAGGAGAGAGAGAGAGATGTGTGTGTGAAAGGCGGTAGAACGTTGCTTGAGATGGACAGGAGGTTGAGATGGCTAGGAACCCGGCTGCGGTTCCGTCGGGAAGCGAGGTAAAGAGTGGGTAAAGTTCCGGGTAGCAGGGAAGTTCGATCGGTGGACGACGGGGCGGTGGTGTTTGGACGACGCCAATGAAGGATCAACAAGGTGAGGTGCAGCGTGCAGCTGGAGTGATGCTGGAGGAGACCTGACAGAGATCCTCCGAGACGACTATGAGAAGGCCAAGGGTTGATGAATGTATGGCCGAGTTTCTGTGCGATGTGAAGCTCCTGGAAGAAAACAGGATGGACGAAAGGAGGAAGACAGTGTCCGTAGCAGGAAACAAGTTCTGGTAAACAGGTTGATGTAACTGGAAGTGGCCTCGGCTCCTTTCAGGCGTGCGAACGGACTGCTGTTAGACGGGCACGACGGGATGGCGGGACGTGGATGGGCTGGTTGTGCTTGGAACCCTTTCCCATTGTGGGGTTGGGTTGACCCTTTCCCCGCAGCGAGTCAGAGGGACGGCAGTCTGGAAGGCACTGTTGCAGGCAATTCGGGAGATGGCACAGGCATTACGTAGTTTGGTTCATGTATTCTTTATTGTGTACAGCAGAACGTAAGACCATCCAAAGTTGGTACTACCGTAAGGAGGTGACTCGACACAATATATATGCTTCCATGCAAGTCAGTAACTATAGGAATGTGCAAGTTGTACTTATACGAAAGTGATGGATGTACTCCGTACGGAATGCCGGATAGCTGCGGCAGTAACCACTGCTGTGCCCAGCTACCTTACCTATACGTAGGTACCTCTATACTCCGTAGGTACGCCAGCCACACTTCAATCTGGGGGGGGGGGGGGACGTCGTTCTGGAGCACCCTCCTTAGGTAAGCTGCCCCGCCGGCAAACGGGGCCGATGTTCTTCCTGGTTCCAGAGCCAACTCCCGCCTCCGCCGCGCGCTGAGTGGCCAGGCACGGGCGGCAACGTCAGTGCTCATTGATTTTTTTGGTGATGTCGTTTACTTTCTAGTCTCCCCCCCGACTGTCTCCATAATAGCCAGAAAGCCTACTCAACTCACCTACACTCTGTATTTGTAAGGCGTCAGGAGGCGATGCGCATTGCGATTTAGGACTCGGAGTCCTTTTCACCACCCTTCTGCACAAATACACCCATCTGCAACCTTTTCAATTGCGTTCCCCATCTCTTTTGTTTTGTTACCAATTCAACCAACACAGCGGCATATCCTAATTCGCCCTCGGCCCTGTATTACCCGATCACCACGTGCCGCGACCGGAGCTTCTTCCAAGTCGATTGGCAAACCCTCCCCAAACCGCCGCCAACATGGTGATGCGATCGAGCTTCCCCAGGCGCCTGGCCCTCGGACGCTCGGCAAACTACCTCAGAAACCCCTACGCGGCCTCGAGTAGCAGGTTACCCGCAGCGAGTACTCCGAGGTGCTCCGCATCCACCTTCGACCGCCTTCTCCTCACCACCCGCCCGTCCCTGCGAGCCGTCGCCCCGTTCTCAACGTCAACACGATGGCTAAAGGAAGAAGATAACAGCTTCTTTGACCGTGCCGTCGAGCCCCTGTCTGAGGAGGAACAAAAGGCGAACCTGAAGCACCAGCGCGAGCTCGAGGAGAAGGAGTTAGCCGAGGCCAAGAGCTCTAACTCCGAGTCATCCGCCAAGGGCGAAGGCTCGGGAGCTGCACAAGATGGCAAGGCCGGTAGCGCGGCTGGTGGTTCATCAGCGGGATCCGGCGGCAGCGGCGGCGACGATAAGGGTGACGGCAGCGGCAGACGCGGACGCAGAGCCTCTGACAAGAGCCTGCAGAAGCCCGTTGTGCCTGACGTCTACCCCCAAGTTCTCGCTATCCCGATTGCGAAACGGCCTCTGTTCCCCGGTTTCTATAAGGCTATCACCATCAAGGACCCGAACGTCGCCGCGGCCATCACCGAGATGATCAAGAGAGGCCAGCCGTACGTCGGTGCTTTCTTGTTCAAGGACGAGAACCAAGACGAGGACGTTATCCGCAATGTCGATGACGTCTACGATACCGGCGTCTTTGCGCAGATCACGAGTGCGTTCCCCATGCATGGAGAGCAGGGCGCCCTGACGGCTATCCTCTACCCTCACCGCCGTATCCGCCTTTCGAGCTTGCTGCCGCCGGGAACGGAGGACAAGAAGCCGAGCGAAGCCAAGGTCGAGCCGGTGCCCGAGCCGATACCCTCGAAGCCCACTGATGAGGAGGCTCAACAAGAGAAGAAGGGCGACGTCGTTGCCAGCTTCGAGGAGAGTGCCGTGGCCCCCAAAGCCGACCAGGCGGCGGAGAAGTACGAGCCCACTGCGTTCCTCAAAAGATACCCCGTCAGTCTCGTCAACGTGGAGAACTTGACTGAGGAGCCCTACGACCCCAAGAGCGCCGTCATCCGTGCCGTCACAAACGAGATTGTCAACGTGTTCAAGGAGGTCGCCACGATGAATAGCCTTTTCCGTGACCAGATCTCGACATTCTCGATGAGCCAGTCCACTGGCAACGTCACGTCCGAGCCGGCGAAGCTGGCAGACTTTGCCGCAGCCGTGTCTTCCGGCGAGCAGGGCGAGCTGCAAGAGGTCCTGTCGAGTCTCAACGTGGAGGAGAGAATGCAAAAGGCCCTGATCGTCTTGAAGAAGGAGCTCATGAACGCGCAGCTCCAGTCAAAGATCACCAAGGACGTTGAGAGTAAGATTACTAAGCGTCAGCGGGAGTACTGGTTGATGGAGCAGATGAAGGGCATCCGTCGCGAATTGGGCCTCGAGTCTGACGGCAAGGACAAGCTGGTCGAGAAGTTCAAGGAGAAGGCCAACAACCTGGCCATGCCCGAAGCCGTGCGCAAGGTGTTTGATGACGAGATCAATAAGCTTGCCCATCTCGAGCCTGCAGCGTCCGAGTTTAATGTTACGCGCAACTACCTGGACTGGCTTACGCAGATCCCCTGGGGCCAGCGCAGCGCGGAGAACTTTGGCATTCAAAACGCCATGACGGTCCTGGATGAGGACCACTACGGGCTTAAGGATGTCAAGGATCGTATCTTGGAATTCATCGCTGTCGGCAAGCTTCGTGGAACGGTCGAGGGCAAGATCATCTGCTTCGTCGGTCCTCCCGGTGTCGGAAAGACGTCCATCGGCAAGTCCATTGCCCGCGCCCTGAACCGCCAGTACTACCGATTCAGCGTCGGTGGTTTGACGGACGTGGCTGAAATCAAGGGTCACCGCAGGACTTACGTCGGTGCCCTGCCCGGTCGCATCATCCAGGCGCTCAAGAAGTGTCAGACCGAGAACCCTCTGATTCTCATTGACGAAATCGACAAGATTGGCCGCGGCTACCAAGGTGACCCCTCATCGGCTCTGCTCGAGCTCCTCGACCCGGAGCAGAACAGCTCCTTCCTGGACCACTACATGGACGTCCCCGTCGACCTGTCCAAGGTGCTCTTCGTCTGCACCGCCAATATGACGGACACCATCCCGCGACCCCTCCTCGACCGCATGGAGCTCATCCAGCTGTCGGGCTACGTCGCCGACGAGAAGAAGGCCATCGCCGACAAGTACCTCGCCCCGGCCGCTCGCGAAGCCGCAGGCTTGGCCAACGCCGACGTGACGCTCAGCGAGGAGGCTATCGAGGAACTCATCAAGTCGTACGCCCGCGAGTCCGGCGTCCGCAATCTCAAGAAGCAGATTGAAAAGGTCTACCGAAAATCCGCCCTCAAGATCGTACAGGACCTCGGCGAGGAGGTGCTCCCGGAGAAGGAGGCCCTGACCGAGGACGGCAAGGAGGCGCTCGAGGCGTCGGAGAAGAAGGCCGAGGAGGTGCGCGAGACGGGCGAGCAGCCGGCCGAGACGCCGACCGCCGAGAAGCCCCGCGTCGCCCTCAACGTTCCCGACACGGTCCACGTCACCATTGGCAAGGAGAACCTCGTCGACTATGTCGGCCCTCCCGTCTTCACCTCGGACCGCCTCTACGAGGTCAACCCCGCCGGCGTGGCTATGGGCCTCGCGTGGACCCAGATGGGCGGCGCCGCCATGTACATCGAGTCCATCCTCCAGGCGCCCCTGCGACCCAGCAGCCGCCCCGGGCTCGAGATCACGGGCAACCTCAAGAACGTCATGAAGGAGTCGACGACGATTGCCTACTCGTTTGCAAAGTCCCTCATGGTCAGGGATTTCCCCGACAATCACTTCTTCGACAAGGCCAG